GTGACGGTTCCATTCTGGTCAGGGCACAGGCCCGGGTTGTGGGCTTGATCCCCAGTGTGGGGTGTGCAGGAGGCAGCCACTCAATGATTCTCTCTCATAATTGATGTTTCTACCCAGCTTTCCATCTCCCTTCCTTTCTGAAATCAATAAAAATATATTTAAAAAATAAAGTAGAATAAAAAGATGGAATCTGGTAATGAACCTGAAACCAGAAATAGGAAGATGGCAGACCCAGGAGTAGGGCCAGGTACTGAAAAGTCAGTTTCTGAGTCTCTGACTATGGCCCCAGGAAAGAAAAAGAAAAAATGATTTAAAGAGACCAAGGTGGGTACATTGCACACTTTCCAGTGAGTTAGGTTTTCACAAATGTGAGCAAAAGCTGGAAGGGGGTCAAAAGCAGACCACTGCAAAACGGAGGTGGAGACAAGAATAGTGTCACAGCTTGAAGTCCAGCCTGAGTGAGGTTTGCCAAATGCGTTAGAGCCCATGAAAGAGTCTTTTGCGTGTTTGCTTTAACCTTTTTCCATAAAGGCTGAATGTGGGAAGAGCAATTTGGTTGCTTGGACTTGACCAGTGGTTCACGCACTGTGGTCCCTGGACCAGTAGCATCAGCATCCCCTGGGAAGTTTAGAAATGCAAATGATGAGCCCCCAGCCTGGACCTACTGAATGACACTCTGGGCTGGGGCCCAGCCTTGTGTGCTTTGATACGCTTCCAGGAAATTCTGCCCATCACTGAAGCTTGGGACTCACCAGGTTAGAACATTCATCTTCCACCCTGCTTATGAAAAGCACCTGTGAAGCTGGTGGAGGACAAAACAAAACTGCCCAAGCTTCTTTGTTTTACCCCAGAGCGATTACAAAGGACTGTTGAGTCTGGCCAAGGATACATGTGAAAGCTGCTTGGCGAATCTAGTGCACAGGCCAAGAACCGAATTCCAGTTCAAGTACCAGCCGCGTGAGCACCTCCAGGGAGTTTATTAGAAATGCAGAATCCTGGTCCTACCCGCTGAATCAGAATCTGCATTGTGAACAAGGTGACTGGGTTCGAAAACCTTTTGTAAAGAGAAGTTATAAGAAAGAAAACAGAATGTGCAACCTGCCTTCGTTTTCTCTTTATTAGTTGATATACTAACTTCTTTTAAAGTTAGTAAAAGTTTGGGGCAGGAAAAGGCAAGGTGAACGTACTGGCCTATGAGACATGAAGGGTAGTGAAGGTTCAGGGTCAAAGAAAGGCAGATGACAGGCAGATCACATGAATGAGAGAAGTGGGTGTTCAAGGAGAATGGTGTGCTTGAGTTACCCATACCTCCTTGGGCAGTCCTCACATTACTGCCCCTTGGTCAAACAAAATAGACTCCTAGGTCAAAATCAAGGTCAGGAACCAATGTTTGATGCCATGGCTTACTGATGAGTTTGGAAATGTGAGGAAAACAGGGCTTTCCTCAGGTTTCAAGACAGGCCTGGTCTTCCCGCTCTCCCTATGAGGAGTCCTGGGGAATGGGCGTGTGCTCAGTGTATTGAGGTGGTGCAACACAACCAGAAAAGTTCAGTGAGGAAGGGCCTTGGGGATAACTTATGGACCTGATTTGATTCCCTGGCAGAATTCCAGGCCAATGTCTTTATTAAGACTTGGAGGAAAAAGCCAGCCCCATAATTCACTCAGGAGTCATGAATGATAGGATTGCTGGTCTGATTTCTCTTCTGTGATGGAGAGGCAGAGACACTGTAGATATAAGTGTGTTGATTTCACAAGGCATGGCAGATGTCCTTTGCTTTGGTTCATTTCTTCTTAACGTTATTTATTGAGCAAAGGGAAATAGCACAAGCTGGTTATTTGTGCAGGTTTGTTTTGTTCTGTTTTGTTTGGTTTGGGGGGTGAGAGGTGCGGGTTCTAGCTAGAGAAATGACCTCACCCATATCCACCTAATGCACCAAAGCCAGCGAAGTTCTGGATCTCTGGTAGAAGCCTCCAGGGCCTGTTCCAGCTTCTGTCATTCCTGAATGTTGGCTGAGGACTGGTTGGTAAGGCAGACTTCTCACTGCCCTTGTGTTCAAAGGGTAGAGGAATAGATATAATTATGAGGATCTGAACAAACATTCAAGAGAAGGCGTGATAAAGCAAATTTTAAAACAGGGAAATTTAATAGAGGAAAACATCTCAAGTAAGAAGTAACACAGCAGCAGCAACTGGTTCAGGGATTGAGGGATTTTTAGTCCATTGGAACCTAATTGCATTTATTTGTGTAAAACAGGGGC